GGATTGAGCCTGGGGCACAAAGAAGCAGCAGTGACAGCTTTAACTCTGACCTGGAGCAGGTGGTAGTGGTGGAGGCCACATTAGCTCTGGCTCCAACCCAGGGCACATGGCAGTAGCTGTAGCCCCCAGCACATGACTCCTGCCAGAGCCAGAACTGCTGCCACCATGTGCTCTGTGCTGCAGCAGTAGCTTCAGCTCCTACTCCACCATGGGGCACACAGTGGGAGGTAGTGGCTGAGGAGGTAGGGTCACATCAGGTCAATAGGCAGAGCAGCTGAAGTGGGGCTGGGGCTATATCAGCCCTCACCCTCCTGCTGCTGAACACTATGCCCACTGGGGCATAAGGGCCCCAGATTCTGTGGCAGGACACAGCTCTACAACTTTGTGTGGCCTGCCACATAGACTAGCTCCTCAGGCCATATTCAGCCTCTAGGTTGTATGTTTAGCCCCCTTGCTCCAAGCTACAATGGTAAGAAAGTTGATAGAGGCCAGTGCAAATACAGGATTGAGGCAGCTTGCAGATCCTCCTTTCTACTATTAACAAGGTACACCTGAGACCATTTGAACCTAAGTCCTTGGAGGGGGAGAGGGGTGGAGAAGAGGGAAGGCAGCCAACATTTCCTGGGTGATCAAAAGATGGCAGCATCCTGCTGATCTGGACAGGAAGAATGTTCTGCCTTGGGTTGGCAGAAGCTGTAGAGCTAAAAATGGGGGGGGGAGACAGGTGACTGAGGGAAAACTTGGTGGGTAACATTTCCTGGGATTCTTGATCTCCTTTAGCACCAACATCGTAATTGTGATTTCCTCTAGGCTGCTACCATGGAAGCATGCTAAAGTACTCTAGTGTTTTCCCCCTTACTGTGCTGCATTACACCTCTTTGCTGTATTCTGCTTGAGAGTGTTAGCTCTTCAATATGTACTGAGTAGAAAAAAGGTTGTGGGAGCTGTAGGCAGATACCTCTCTCATCAGCTGTCACAGCAAGAGGTAGGGAATGTGCCCTAGGAAGTGCTTTCAAGAGGATGCCTTTTCCTCAGTGCCACAAAACTCCCATTTGCAACCTTTGACACGTCTTCCCTTCAGCTGATGGTGCTGGCTGAGGATAGGTAAAAATTACTGCATTTTCCTCCTATAAATGGATGCAGCTTTACAGATGTCCTGGAAGTGGCTTTTCTCCAAGAAAGGCCTAGAGATTTCTCAATGCCAGACAAATTGAGCAGAGCCCTTTCAATGTCTTCAGCCAAGGTACCGTAAGAGCCACTGGGAAGCCTACCTGTGTGGTGGACTTTGCTTTTCAAGTGACACAACTGCTTGTGGTGAGGATGCAAAGGGCTACCACTAATCTTAAATGTACTTCAGTGTGAAAGGGTAGGAGGGAATAGAGGGAGGAAGTAGACATTAACATCTACTTCATAGCTAGCAGAATTGAATTGTGAAATGTCAGTTTTGTCCCTTCAGTTAACAGACTAGTTTCCTTTCCCTCTTACAAAACTCCAGGGAGTAGCTAGAAGCTGGAATAAACTTTATGCAAGTTGGCCAAGTAGACACCATAACAACTTGCTTCTGGATGTTCCCTGTTCCAGTTAGAACGGCAAATGTTTTATGGGCCTTTAAAAGCCCTTGTTTCAAAAAGAACATTTCAATTGTTTTAGCTAGAAAGCACCCCCCCCATGTAATTTGGGCAGCAAATTGCAAACTAAGGCTAAAAATAGACATTGCTAAATGGATCAGGGATGTGTCCCAGCACTGCTGATCCACTTCATTAGATGAATTGCATATCACTAGTTGTGCCATCTATTTTTCTGGTAGGACAATGGATGACATATTCCCCTGGGGCTTGAGGGGCCAATGCTGTATGGGAATTTCCAGGGTGTGCAAGATTGGAGTCCTCAAGCCCTGGGAGCACCTGCCTGGGGCAGCTGGAGGGAGTGGGCAGCTCCAGGCTGCCTGGGCTCCCCTGTCGAAAAACAGACATCATCCTCTAAATAGTGGAACAAGTTAACACCACCTTTGTCATAGCCAAAATTTTTGAGTGTTTGTGGTGCAATAAGGGGCAGGGACAGCTGTTTGCTTAGCTTTTGTATGACAGAACAAAGGTGACATCTGTTTTCACCCTGATCACCTCCTGAAAAGCGAGAAGGCTGAGTTAATCCAGACTCCCTACAGTCTTACTTTAGATTGACAGGAAGGAACTTTTTTTCTGAAACATGATACTTAAAAAAAATGGCAAACTACATACCTGAGATGAAAATCTGTTGAAGTCAGCGGCAAAACTCTCTTTACTGTTAACTAATCCAGTGCTTTATCCTTGAATTGCAACTTTACAAAATGCAGAAAGTGAAATCAGTTAATGTAGTTACTAAGATTCCTATTTTCCCCCCGAAGGCCTAAATAATGCTAGCCCAAAACTCTATTAAAGTGAATTTCAGCATCAGAGTTTATAATACAGCAATAAGAGTTTATGAATCTTTGTAACCTCTCTTTGTTTCCATAGTTCCCAATATGGGCTCTTGGAATGGGAAATAGCAGTAACTTTTTAAAGGCAGTTTTATTTCTGGTTTCTCAGCGGAAAAAGAACAACAGGTAGAATTCATAAAACTCCACATAGTTTGAATAATATGAAAGGTAACTGAGGGGGAAAAGCATTTGTTTTCCAAATGGGAGAGGAAGAATGAAATTAACTTTGCAGGAAACAATGCTATTGCCTTGTAACTGGATGGAAAGTCTGTATAAGAAATTTACAGGGATTCTGTTCTACTCCTTCTAGATTATGGGCTGTGAAACAATTGCAGTATAAGCAGTGCTGGAGAAACTGCAGTGGAGAATGGAACTTAGAACATATCATTTAGTTCTTTCCCAACATACAGAAATATTAGCAGAAAATAGTAACTTACCAAAAGTGCTATTGGAATGAAAAGTATTAAATTCTTCCCACAGGAAATAATCTCAGGACTAGATAATGCAGGGATAACAACTGTTAAAGCACAAAAACCTGTAAAAACATTTTGTTTGGCAGAAAAATACACTGTAGCAAGAACATGGAAGTAGTGCCCTCCTCTAGTGAGTGGTTTGAGCAGTAGATGGCATGTAGTAGGAATTTATGGCTAGATTTACTCCTATCAGAATAAAATGTAGAATTTTAAAGATGTGTGTTTTTTCCTCCTCAAGTTTCATAGCAATGTATTCAAGCCCTGCAGAAGAAAAGGGAGTCTGGAAAACAGGCAATTTAAGTTGAAAGTAGACTGTCGCCTACTCCTCCCTCTAAATTCTTATGGTTTTTAGAGGGGTAAGGACAAAAAGTCCTTGTGTGCACAGATAGTGGTTTTCTTAAATGACCAGGTATGTGAAGAAAATGGGCACTTCTGAATATGGTGTGGTGGTACATTTTTTTAACCTTACATAGGGTTTATAGTAGCAGGATTTAAGGCACTGTCCCTTGGCCCTGGCAGCCAGATGACCTTCATGCAAATGGCAACAACCAGTTGAAAGCACAGTTCTTTGTTGGTTGGAGGCCCCTTGGAAGATTTTGAGAAATGGTGACTGGATGTGTGTGTGCTGGAAGATGACAGTCCTCCTAAGTGACATCTGTTGGATCCAAAGTGCCTGGCAGCCATCTGCATCTTCCAACTGTTAACCCAAAGGAGAAGGTTAGGACCATGTCCACGTCCTCCTGTTTGTCCCTTGTGTGTTGCATCTGTGGAGTAAATATGCTTGCACTGTAACTACCACCTTTGTTAAAAGAACTCCCAGTAAAAAAGAGAGGCTTCCCAAGCTTAACAAAGTCAAGTTTGCCCACTTTCAAGCCCAACTGGACTCTGTCAGCATATTAGACCTATGAGCCCCTAGGAGATGTCATGGAGTAGAGCAAGCTTAAAGATTCAGATAAATGTGGGAGACAGTGGGCATGTCTACACATGCAATTAAGTTGAAGCAGTAAAATCCAGTACTTAATTCCCCCACAGATTATTGTTTCCTGAGTGCCACGTTTACACGTGTGCCTGGAAATGCAGCATCTTGAGCAAGGTCGAAGTAGCTTCAGTTGGCAGAGGATCCTGGGGGTCAGCCTGCCAGCCTGGGACTGCTTCCCCTTGGCTCAATGTGCTGCCAAGGGGCTGGCTAGGGATCAAGGGTGCTACAGTATGGGGCTAGCCAGCAGGCAGCTGCACCCTGTAGCACTCTCATGCCCCAGCCCACCCCAGTCAGCATCTACACATGCATTGCAGCAGAATAAATAACTCTTGCTGTAGTATAGTACTTGTATCTAGCATACTAACCTACGGTAGAGTTAATTAGTTTACTCCAGCCTAATAGTTCTGCACATAGAACAGTGATATTTTACTATGGAACTAGTTAGGCAACTCTTCAGTAAGCATCTTGTGTAGATGAGCACACTGAGTATTGTGTTAGTAGTCCATTGCATCCTGCACCATAGGCAGTAAATTCTTAACTAACAGATGAAAAGGAATATTTTTAGAACACCTCAGATAAATGGTCTAATTGGGGTGGCCACCAGAGAACAGATTCCAGTCAATGCATTTAATGGACAGTAAGTAACAGATTAATAGCATGCTAGTAGCTATGAAAAATCTGTTTCAGTGTTCACAGCATATTCACCCTGTTTAATAGTTCAAGTCATGCTTTCTGCTACATTCAGCTTCTCACTGTGTGATTTGTCCTGGCTGCTAAACAAGTTTCTTACATCAGTATGATTTAGTGCTTTGTCTAAAATGCTTAGTATTAAAGGAATTAATGAAATAGAAACAAAAATCTCCCAGCAAAATGAATTCCTTTGGGGCCCTGGCTAAAAAATTGAATTCCAGTGGGAAGAAAGCATGTGAATAATGAGAAAAAAAGCAAGTGAGAAAAAAAAATAAATTGTCTCTAGTTTGGTTTGTTCTGAATTACAAACCACCTTCTTAATCAAGTGTTCTCAACTGAGGAGTTCACTTTTGCACTGGAAGTAAAGGGATTTACTTTGGTCTTTTCAGGAGGACTGAATCTTCAATCCAGTGGCCAGAGGAATGTATTTTCATCAGTGAATACTGTTCGTAGTGTTGAACAGATCGCTACGGAAAGTTAATAATTCTATCTGTTCAAAACATTTCCAAACTGGAAAAATGTTACTTTGATTTAACTGAAACATTTTGTAGAATCTATTCATTTTTTAAAAATTTTAGATGCATCATTCTGTTTTAAGAAAACTGGAATACTTAATTATGACTTTATATTAGATATAAATCAAAATGATATGTAAGGTCACAAGTATTTATAAAAGGCCAAAGGAAATATATTAAAGCCAATGTGATAAAGCTTAAACAAATTGTAGATCAAATGTCATTGCAATGTTCCGAGAACAGATTTTGGAAAGGACATTTCTCAGGAACTTTTGACTTCTTGTTCTCATTTGGGCCTAAAGGAAACCTCAAAATGCTGGAATTTCCCACAAAATTGGAAATCTGGATTTCAACCAGCTGTAAATGATAATGAAAGCTGTAGGCAGTAAATGGATTCAAATAAAAATCAGAACTTAACAGGCCATATTCAACCCCAGCATTTTTCCAGATTATTCTTCCTGTGCCTTTTATCCAGCACATCCACGCTCATTCTTTTTCTGATCAATTTTGATTCATATGCCACTTAGTTTTGGAATATTTTAGCTGTGCTGTGTGCCCAGAGTGTTATCCATTGCTGAAACTGTGGTTTGTCAATTTATGCAAACACATTTTTTCTTATGACTACTCCTGGCTGCTGGTGGTTATTGCAAATGTCTGTATGCTTGGAGCAATACAACAGTCAACAACAGTCTTAAATTGTTTTGAAAAGCGAACACAGCCCGGCACTAACCTACAGAATCTATCTATACAGAACTGTAGAAGAGATTACAGAAAAGAGTGATGTGAAATTATTAAGTTTGATGCCTTCAATGTTAAGGCCAAAAGCAGAAGTGGACAGAAAATGAACATTATCTAAGGGAGAGGGTCTTTCGTATGATCTCTGATAGCAATAAGAAGGAACATTCATGGATGAGATTGTGGCAATATCCAGAATCTCCCCTCCATACTTCTGCCTGACACAGTCGCTACCAGCTACATACAGGAGCATGTGAAAGAAGTCGGAGTCTTTCAACCCACTATGAGATCTAGACAGACTCGTCCCAGCAGCTTCTCATACTCCTTTGGGAACCAATTTCCACACTTTGCCAGCCATATATTGCCCCATCCTGTCAGCCTTGAATCTGACCCTGGGAATCCATGTACTGATGACCACAAGACTCAACTACTGTGCCTTGTATATAGAAGTGTAAACAGGCACCTTGAAAAAGCTCCAAGTGACGCAATACAAAACAACTAGTCTGTAAAGGTTCCTGTAGACAGGCTGCAAGGCTGCTCTGATGTGCATTGGAGCAGATTTGATTAATTGGTGACCACCTGCAGACGCTTTTGGCAGCAGCCAGCAGGGATCGCGGACCAACCACAGATGCCACTGGTGGTGTTGGCGGTGGGGTGGTGAGCTGTGACCACCTTCAGCTACCACCAACACAACAGCGCCTTTTTGTAGGGAGTGCACCGCCACACTCAGGGGGTACACGTGGCCTTCCATGCACCCCCTATGCATTGCCCCTGTCCCTGTGCTTCAGAATGGCAGTGGGGAGTTTGAAATACAGCTCGTCAAATGAGCTGTAGTTCAATGGCCCCTGCTGCCATTTTAAAACACTGGGATGCTGATATACAAGATCCTGTGGCACTTTAATTAGATTCTGTGGCACTCCAAGAGCCAATCTAATTGAAGCACTCCCCCAAAGCATGTGTAAAAGTGCCCTAAGGTAGCACAGGTTCCAGTAAGCCCCAAACTCCTGGGCTCTTCTCTGCACTGTCCCCCCACCAATCTGAGTCTAATTCAAAGTCTCTGCCTTGGTAACTTGCACAAATTGGCTTTTGCTATCTGAAAGATCTGTTCTAGTCTTGTGACTAAAACCTTGGATGACAACTTCATTCCACTGAAACTATGAAGCTATTGCTCAATAGGAGGACCTCCTGGGTGCAGCAGACAGCATTTGGCCAAAGTCTATGGAACTCTGCATTAAGAGTCCAGAATGACTACAAACGCCTGTACAATCAGGAAGAAATGCAAATTCCTTCCTTCCACATATCTTTCTATTAGTAAGTCTCCCTCCAGCCCTATCGTCTATGAACTCTATGAAATCCTTCTCCTTTCTCTCTCCCTCTCTCTCACACAACATCACTCCCAATGATCAACTCAAGTTAAAAGTGAGAAAATATTTGTTATTATTTTTTACCATGTGAGCTGCTCAGATACAAGTAAGT